GGGGAAATCTGGGAAACTGTAGCAATGGACAAGCCCAGTTTTTGTAGGATAGGAAAAAAGTTGCTGTTGTTAGACCGGCCAGCTTTGCAACACTGCCTTAAGATACCTTTCAATATGCGACGAAGAAAAAGCAGGGCTCTGTGGAAGTATGTCCATTATTTCTGCACAGGTGTCTTCTTGTTCTCCTTTTAGCCTTATGTCTATAACCATTAAGTCTGTAGAAACATCAATTGCCTTTATATTCATTTGTAATATAAGCCAGTTGTATTTTATTATAAACTTAAACTCTGATAAAGAGAGCTTTGAAATAGGGTGTCATTCAGCTGGTGTTAGTGAAACCATGCTGGCAGTTGGTTTAGCCACTGTCTGTATTGCCTGGCATCTCTGGGTTATACAGTAACAGCTTGGACACTAATGACACACAGAGCATGTATAAGAAATGGAGAAGGCACTTGTTAGATTTGCCTCCGGGTGATTCTCAGATGCCTCGTGAGAATTGTGCATTGTTTCTCCCCCACCTCAAAGCCAGTTACACAAAGTTGTCTGGTCTCTATAATAAAGTGCATAGATATGTAGGTACTGGAGCATAGGGCAGTTTTAGAATCTGATCTGCTGCATGGGATTGTCAGGTGTCTAAAGAGGGGATGGATGGACAGAAAGTGCTACCCAAATGGCAAGGGGAGTACTTGTCCTGATGTACAAAAATGTATGTTTTTTTCCCTCCTCTTCAGAGGCTGACGGATGTGTTCCGCCGATACGACACCGACCAAGATGGCTGGATTCAGGTGTCCTACGAACAATATCTTTCTATGGTCTTCAGCATCGTATGACACTGCTAACCAGGAACTGCACACTGGTGTTACACAGACTGGAGTTGCCAAATCATCACATACTGAATAAGATTATTGATGTACTATAATGGATATAACTTCACCTTCTTAAATTTTGTATGTATGTATGTTGGCCATCACCAAAATCTGTACTTGAGTTTTTTATTTTGTATTCCTGTATGATATGTCCATCTCTGCTTACTGTCGTACAGAAAGCACAGAATCTAGATTTATGTGGTGCAATGTCAAACTTGACTTGACTTAACCTTCTTTCACATATCCTGCATGGGAAAAACATGACTCTTTAGAAACGCCAAATTACAATAATGCTTGTTAGTTTAGAAGGGAGTTGAAAGTCAGAAGTTGCACAATATGTTTTGCATGTGCCTTACTTTTATAAGAGTTTAATGTATTAATTTTTAATACAGAACTTAAAAATTAAGTAAAGACATTAGATCAACTTCTATAGTCCACTTCTGTATGGGTTTTTTTTAAGGGGTGGTGGTTTTATTTTTATATGCTAGTTTTCAACGGCTCAGGGGTCCCTCCCATGGAAGAGCGAGGGCCTTTCTTCCTTGCCTGTTTTCCGGCTGCTGCCTTCTCTCAGGGTATCCTCAGGACAACTGCAAATGCAACTTCTTCACACCCATGGCCAATACCATCCTCAGTGAGTTCCCCTCAAAATCATCCATATCTAACTACTCCAGAGATGTCATTCCCTCTGCTTAGGGGGCTTATTTAACATCACCAGCCTTCCTTCTTGTGCTGAACCACTTTGAAGTGGCCTTGAACTGGCTGTCAAACATTGCCATCACCTCACCCTCTATCTCACCATTTACAGATGGCAAGGAACACAGTGGTAAAACAAGCAAAAAAAGTAATGACTGACTCCTGTCACCATCTCCTGCAGTAAATTCAAAGCAGAAAAGAGAAGTTAGCAAATCCTCTTCGATTGCTCAAAGAAAAATCTTACAGCAGCACTATCCAAAGCACTTAAAACCACTCAAGCAGAAAGATTACTTCTAACTGCTATGTTCTGGTATATGTTTTAACAGCCCAGGGCTTTCAGCTTTTATCCAAAGACTTAAGCTAGCAATACTTGCTTATTCCCAAGTCCTTCCCTGTCCCCAGCTCAGTGTGTGCAGGCAGCCCCCATGCACCCCCTTTTTTTTTTTAATATCACAGTTATGTGACAGCTCACAGGCAGGTGAGCTGTCACTGATAGGTGCCTATAAACTGATGCTGTCAGTGGTACCAGCCAGATATTACAAGAGATTATGCAGAAAAGGGTTGAGTCCACACACAGAAAGACACCCACCCTAAAAAAAAATACCATGTCACAGGGTTATTCCCAAGTGTCTCAGTCAGAGTGCAATGCCTGGTGTCAGGGTGAAGACAGCCTAGTGACAACCATGCAGTGATCTGGCATCTATTGTGCAAAGAAGCTGCTACTAGTTGATAAGTGATAATCGAACAGACCCTGAGCAACAGTTCAGTAATACCTTCTGAACAATTGCTGCTGTGAAATAAGTGGGGACAGACCAACAATCTTCCAAGCATAAGCACACCAACCATTGTCCGAGTTGCTGACTGTTGTCTCATCCAGCAGCCTTGGGCAGGCTGTGAAGGTTACTTACCTTTAAGGTGATAACGGAGAGAGACTTGCAACAGTTCCTGCTCAAACCTCACTTCCCCAGAAGGCAGAGGGGATCACTCCATATATTCTCTTCAGAAAGAAAATGTAAGAGCAGCCCCAGAGTCTGAGTCTTAAAAGAGATTCTCCATGAAATGGCCCATTCAAAAAGGCTTCCTTGTTCACTCCTCAGTAAGAAAACCATCCCTTTGAATCCTATGTTCACCCTAACAGGCTGAGAGAGTTGAGCTTGTTCATCCTGGAGGAGGCTCAGGGGAGACGTTATAGCAGCCTTCCACTACCTAAAAAGCCTACCACTACAAAAAAGCTGGAGAGGGACCTTTTAACAAGGGCATGTAGTGACAGGATAACAGGGAATGGCTTTAAACTGACAGAAGGGAGATTAAAATGACACATTAGAAAGCACTTCTTTACTACAAGTGTGGTGAGGCACTGGCACAGGTTGCCCAGAGAAGCAGTGTTCAAGGCCAGGTTGGACAGGGCTTGGAGTAACCTGGTCCACTGGAAGTTATTCCTGCCCGTGGCAGGGGGCGGTGGAAGTAGGTAAGCTTTAATGTCCCTTCCAACCCAAACCATTCTGTGATTCTGTGAATGTGTAGGGGGAAAGAGCATCTAATTTGGGCAGGATCAACCAGCTGCTGTATGCCACTAGGATATACAATAACAAAAGTAAAATCCCAAAGGGAATGAGAAATGTGAAAAAAGTGCTCTCTTCAACAAGCTCAGATCTTAACCTCAATTGACACAGCTGTAGCAGTAACATTTTCTAGCGACACTTCTGCAGTTTCAGAGCTGTAGTTGCACTACACTTTCTGTGGAAAAACAACCAAACAAAAACCCCACAAACAACCCACAACAACAACAACCACCACCAACAACAAAACCGGTAGTAACATTTGTGTAAATAATGTGTGACATTCTTTAAATGTAGATAACTGATCAGTCCCATGGAGTCTTAAATCAAAGCTCTGACAGGCACCTGTGGTAGAAAATGGTATTTTCTCCCTTTAAGCAAGATCCATGTAAGGCGTACAGCGTAACTCCTGAGGATATGCCATTAGAAACTACTTAAACCCTCCACTAAGTATGAGAAGGAAAAAAAGGAAGAATTGAACAGGAATGAAAAAGTAAAATGCATCTTTCCTGATGCACAAGCAAAACATCCACTGGAGAATTTCAGGGAATCAAGATTGTATGCTCTATAATAAATTGCTTTGGTGTTGCCTTTTTGTTCAAAATTACACAAGATCCAAAAAGTTGGAATAGTGAATGCAAAAAGAGATTATGACACCTCAATGAAGACTAACCCTGGCTTAGCACAAGTATTTAACGCACAGAGAAATATTTCAGGTAGGGGTGAGAATCAAAACCATAGCAGTGAAAAGAAAAATGGACACTGGGGAGTAAATTGTCTCACTTCTTGTAAAACGATGCTAATTATAAAGGCTCAGATTAACTGAACTGGCATTACATTTGTGGGAAAAAAAGTAAACCTGTATTTTCCTGCAACAGACAGTGCAACATTGAATGAATACTCTTCTTAAGTAGATGATTTAAAAGTAAACCAACCTTTCTCGTTTTCTGAGTTGGAAAGGGTGTGAAAAGGGCTATGAGCTTTCTGCTAACAGAAAAACTTCAATGCATCTTCAAAAAAATAACAGAAGATTCTTTTCCTGTAATACATTAAGATATAACAAACACATTAAAAAAGCTTAAACAGAACAGTATGTTCACCTCCATTATGTGCAAATTTGTGTTCCAGCATACTTCACACGTTAAAAAATTAAACCCTACCTCCCTTCCCGTTTCCAAAACCAGTCAAACACAGAATGAAATGCAGTCTCTTCCCTGACAGCCGAGATGGAGATTCTTGAATTTGTTCATCTGTTTCCAGTTCCGCTCCTGTTGCTCCTTAATCTTTTCCTCTAGTTCCTACTAGCACATTGACTAATGTCTGAATATTTAGTTCTAGAAAGGGGAGATAAAAACGTTTAAAATTACTTCTGTTTCATGTTACTTCACATAATACAACAGAGAGTATGTTAAAATAAAAGGTTTACTATTAACAGGCTACCTAGTTAAGCAACTCATTTCAGTACCATCAGGATAGCTTGCATTTGTCCAAACTTAAACCTGACAGCAATACAGTAGCACATGCCCACCTCCCTTTAAATCTCACAATCTATTTTCAAAGGAGAACCTTTTCTTTTTAATAGTATATCACTATTTTTAACATTAAGGAATAACTCTACAATAATTGGAAAAAATAATTTGACATATTACAAACCGGCTCTTTGATAACATTTCTCTTTTGTTATCCCAATGTGTTTGATCCATCTGGAGTGTCTTCACCTATTACAACACCAGACAAGTTTGGTTCTGCATGCATTCCAGTATTTTTTTCCTTGTGCCAGTATCTTCCCTCCCCACAGCTGCCACTGCAATAGTATAAACTCTGATCATGCTATAAGACACTAGCTAGCAAGGTGACTTAGGACAAACCTTTAGGTACAGGAAATCCTTCACATTTCTCCAGCTCTCCTGCTATCAGTCTGAGAAATGAGACTTTGCATTCTTTTACATGTGTTGTCTTTCTCTTCATTTTATCTGGAAATTCTTTAGACTGTTGACAAAATCCAGCTGAAATGGCCAATACCAAAATTCATCGCTATATTAAATAATTGGCACATTTCACCTTTTGGACAAGCTTCTAAATGGCTCGTAAACAACGTTTTGAATATTATGAACTAGTTTCTTCTCTGTAACATGGCTAATTACATTTTAATATTAAAGTTGCTGAAATAGTGTTCAAAACAAAAAGTGGATATCATGCAAGGCTTGCTACCAAAAGGCAACGTGCTCTGTACCATGTCCAACAATGCTATGGACATCCTGAGGCATATGAAAGAACCACACTGTTCTAGGAATCTGATCCTGAAGGCAATCAAAACACTTAGGAACAGACTTTGAGCAGATACAGACACACACCTTGGGATTGCACTTCCTCAACAGTTCACAACTTCAAAGCTAATTGAGTTGGTCCAGCCCGTGAAGAGTCAACCATACAGGTACTAGCAATTTCTCACATAGGGGTTTAAACTTCAAACTTGATGTAAGTATTTACAGGGAAAAAAAAAAAAACTGAAAAAGAAAGGGGGAGCATCATAAAGAAATTGCTATCAAAATGCATCAAAATTACTCACGATGTATGCTCTTCTGTGTTTATATCCACTAAGTTGTTCTATCATAGGTGCCATCTCTGTATTGAACCCACACAGCCTGCACTCATAATGTGGCTCTTTTCTTTCTTCAAATCTGATTTCAACCACATGTTCTAAACCTCTAAAAGATGTACATAGATTACTATAAACAAATGTATTCTCTTCAATATTGCCCATTAAAAGCCAGAAGGAATAAATAAATGTATTCTATTTACAGAATTTCAACACTTCTTCAGACGTACTACCCATATCAGTTATCTCTTTACAATGCTTTATTCTGAAAGC